TCTTTAACTTGCTTGTTTAATGACTTTTTCCTTTCCAGTCCAGCCACTGCTTTCTTCCTCTTTCTCCCTTGCCACAAGTTATTGCTTTTTCTGAGGGAGGGTGAACGAGAGGAGCAATTGCTTACAAGGATGATCATACCTGGAAAGTGTCCTATACTGCAATGCAACCCTTATCACAATGCTCAGAATTATTTTAGCTTTTCAAATCTTTTCTCAACAGTCTTTTAATTTAATTTCTGACTCTCATTATTTGTGCCAACTTACTTTTACTTCTTCAGGTGCTTACATCACACCCAGGATTGACCCCAATTTTATGACTTTGTTTTTAAGTTTGCAGCAGCTGCTCCAGAACTGAAAGCATTTATAATTTTGTTTCTCATATATACAATCATTCCTCCCTTCCTGGGCCTAATTTTTTTTTGTATGTCTTTTTTATGTCTGTTATGTGGTTTTGCCTCTAATCAACTATGACAAATGGACGTTATCCATGCTCTCTCTTTTTGGCTTCCTAGAAATGTATATTCATAAATAGGTATTTAGGAACAATTTCCCCCACCTCTACGAGGGGAAACAGCTTCACATGTTATTTTTCATCTCTTTTTTTGGCTGTTTCAACCCTGGGTAAACCCTCTTCCCTAAAAACTGACAATGGGCCAGCCTACTTTTCAGTGGCCTTTTTACAATTTTATACAACCTGAAAATTGTTTTTACTCATGGTCTCCTCTATAATTCCACGGGTCAAGCTATCGTGGAACGTGTTAATCGGTCTTTCAAGGACTGCCTTCACAAACAAATAAAAAAGGACGGATTATCTAGGATACCCAATTTGTCGTGGGTAATACAACAGGTTCAAAAAGTATTATTTACATTACACCAATTGAATATTTCCATTCCAAATTTGACTGCTTATCAGAGACACTTTTAACAGAAAACAAACTTGCCTCCACCTCTGGTATATTATCGGGCATTACCAGACAAAGCATGGTTGGGACCAGTCCCTCTGATCACTTGGGGGCGGGGCTACGCTGCTGTGCTTGCTCCAACAGGACCTTTGCGGATTCCAGCGCGTTGTGATCACCCAGCCAGGGATGTCATGGCACCAGTCCCTGGACCCAGTCCCAGAAATGGCAAGGGTGACTCTACAGATGGCACAGCAAGTAATCCAATCCTGACATGCCAGGCAGCCAGTGACGTGGGGAGATGTAAAGAACTTGATCCCCGAGAACCTGTGCGCTGCCATTTTTGCGGTCTTAACTGCAAATTTCTTATCCATCATTTGTTTATGTCTGATCGTTAACATCTGCCCTTTGACAACGGTAACTGTCCTCCCACTCAAACAATCATTCGAACAACGAATGAAGCCAAATCTAAGATCACTCAAAATGACTTCTTTTGTTTACCTGTAATGTATAACATGGAAAATTTGCTTTCTACATGTTTAGTCTTTGTTTGCACCCCTTCTGCAGTAATTCAAAACTTCACTTACTCTGGGAGGTTATTGCTTTAAAAACCTCACTGTCGTCGCATTGGCTCACCTGCTTTAAATTGCACAGCTTCAATAGAGACTTCCTTTCATTTTGGACATGCTTGGCTACTGCAAGGAGGGTTTTTTATGTGGTCAAGAAACTTTAAATTATATTCCTGCTAATATTAGTGAAGCGCAATGTTGCCTCAGCTAGCTGATTCCTGTTTTGCTTTCCAAACAACAAGTTCACATGAACCATTCTCCACGTGGTGTTACGCTAGACAACACTTGTGACTCTGAGACAACCTTACTTTGTAGCATTGGCTATATCTCTAGTGGGCGTGCCAGGACTTGCTGTTCGTGCTCACCTCAACTTTAATGCTATTACATGAAATTTGGCAAAAACAATTAATACTACTTCTTCAACTATTTCAGCAATCAACCATGAGCTGCAAAATTTGAGAAAAGCTATTTTGCAAAATCATGCTGCAATTGATTATTTGCTTCTGCACCAGCATCTGGGTTGTAAACGTTTTGAGGAAATGTATTGTTTCAATATTTCTGATAATTCATGAACCATCCAGCACCAGATTTATATTTTACACACTTTGGCTTCTGATTTGAAAATTGGTACTTTAGGATCTTTGTGGGTGCTGTTTATGTAATGTATTCTTTCATTTTGCAATATATGTATTAGAGCTTTAAATCCCAGTAAATCCTCTCTCACATTGCCTCAGGGTCATGTTTTGGCCCTATATTAACAACTGCAAGGATGCTCCTTTCCTGATTATAATCCTTTTATTAACCCCCCTTCCGGCGATATTTCGTCTAACAAAACAAAAAAGAGTGAGATGTAGAGGTGAGAGACAGGCAAAGGTCGTGTGCAGAACATTGCCCCTCCAAAGCCTGGGTGCCCCTCCTTCCTGCATCTATCTCATTCCTTCACATCACCATGGCGATGTGAAAGTGTGCAGCTCTGACCTTGTCTGATAAGAGCTAGCTCACATCAACAAGATTCTACTAACTATTCCCTGTTTCTGGCCTCTAGCTTTTTACTCTTGAGGATCGGTAAAGGATTTTAGCCAATGAAATGCTATTGCCATGCAGTATCTTTTGCTATTTGTAAAACTCTATAAAAACAAATAAAGGCTCCGAGCGGGCGGCCATTTCTTTGCACCCTTCAATGACTAAGGACTGATTACTACAGTTAAGTAGTCCAGGTTTTTTTTTTTTTGCTGGCTCCTGTCGTAAAGATCCACCGGCCGTTCAAAGGGCGAGGAGATCCGGCCGAGAGGGGAGAGCAGCCGATCTAGCTGCCAACGGAGATCCCTGATCCCTCTGTCCAGGTGAGACCCCCCCCCGCTCCCCAGAGTGGGCCTGGCTGGGGCAGGAGAAGTGGACCTGGGTGAGGGCAAGGGCTGTTTCTGGGCATCAAGTCGTTCCTCGTTTCTGGGAGAGCCCCCCAACGGGTGGGTGGGAGAGCTGAGACCCTCGTGTTAGGGGAGGGAAAGGGGGGGGACTTCGCAAGGAGTGGGGCACAGAAACACCTATTCTATTCTATTCTATTCTATTCTATATTCTATATTAAATATTCTATATTCTATATTCTATATTCTATATTCTATTCTATATTCTATTCTATTCTATTTTCTACTCTATTCTATTCTATTCTATTCTATTTTCTATTCTATATTCTGTATTCTATTCTATTCTAGATTCTATTCTATTTTTGTTCTATTTTTATTCTATTTTCTATTCTATATTCTATATTCAATATTCTATTGTATTCTATTCTATATTCTATATTGCATATTGCATATTCTATTGTATTCTATTCTATATTCTATATTAAATATTAAATATTGTATTCTATATTCTATTCTATTCTATTTTGTATTCTATTCTTGATTGTATTCTATTTCTGTTCTATCTTTATTCTATTTTCTATTCTATATTCTATTCTATTTTCTATTTTCTATTCTATTCTATTTTTTATTCTATTTTCTATTCTATATTCTATTCTATATTCTGTATTCTATTCTATTCTATTCTATTCTATTCTATTCTATTCTATTCTATTCTATTCTATTCTTCTACTTCATTCCATTATTCTATTCTATTCTATTCTAATTCTTATTCTATATTATTCTATTCTATTTTATCCTCTCCTATTCCTATTCCTATTCCTATTCCATATTCTATTCTATTCTATTCTATTCTATTCTATTCTATTCTATTCTATTCTATTCTCTCTACTATTCTAGTATGGGGGGAGGGGGGCTATTCCTCATAATTTGGGGAGGGGTCTTGCTCCTTCTCTGAAGTTTCTGCCGGGTCCTGTCCAGACAGCCAAAAAAAAGGGGAGACCCGGAATGGAGAGCACGGAGGGGACCCCAGCTTCCAACCCCCCTCCCCCAGAACCCCCACTCCCATCTCCCCCCTCCCCTTGGAACTTTCCCAGTGAGATTCCCAATTCTGGCCCTCCTGGAGGGGGGGGTCGGGCTGTGCTGTCTATTCGGGGGAGGGGTGGCAAGAAGCGGAGGGGGGCGAGGGGGGGCTGTCCTTCCTGCAGGATCCGGTTGCAGCGTCCAAAGTGGAATCTTCCTCTTCCCTCTTCTTCCTCCATCCCTGAAAGCCTCTCCGGGGAGAGGGGTGTGTGTGTGTGTGTGTGTGTATTTGTCTGTTGTATTTGTGTGTGTTGTGTGAGTATGTTGTGTGTGTTTGTGTGTCGTGTATGTGTGGTGTGTGTGTGTGCTGTTTGAGTGTGGTGTGAGTGTGGTGTGTGTTGTCTGTTTGTGTGTGTGTGGTTGTGTGTGTTGTGTGTGTGTGAGTGTGTTGTGTGTGTCTGTGTGTTGTGTCTGTGTGGTGTGTGTGTGTGTTGTTTGAGTGTGGTGTGTGTGTGTTTGAGTGTGGTGTGAGTGTGGTGTGCTTTGTGTGTGTGTGTTGTGTACGTTGTGTGTGTGTTGTGTGTGTATGTGTGTCATGTATGTGTGGGGTGTGTGTGTGTTGTTTGAGTGTGGTGTGTGTTGTGTGTTTGTGGTATGTGTGTGGTTGTGTGTGTGTTGTGTGTGTTTGTGTGTGAGTGCGGGCTGTGTTGTGTGTTGTGTGAGTGTGGTGTGTGTGTGTGTTTGAGTGTGGTGTGAGTGTGGTGTGTGTGTGTGTTGTATGAGTGTGGTGTGAGCGTGGTGTGTGTTGTGTGTTTGTGGTGTGTGTGTAGTTGTGTGTGTGTTGTGTGTGTGTGTGAGTGTGGTTTGCGTTGTGTGTGTGTGTGTGTGTGGTGTCTGTGTGGTGTGTGTGTGTGTTTTTTGAGTGTGGTGTGAGTGTGGTGTGTGTTGTCTGTTTGTGTGTGTGTGGTTGTGTGTGTTGTGTCTGTGTGGTGTGTGTGTGTGTTGTTTGAGTGTGGTGTGAGTGTGGTGTGTGTGTGTTGTTTGAGTGTGGTGTGAGCGTGGTGTGTGTTGTGTGTTTGTGGTGTGTGTGTAGTTGTGTGTGTGTTGTGTGTGTGTGTGAGTGTGGTTTGCGTTGTGTGTGTGTGTGTGTGTGTGGTGTGTGTGTGTGTGTGTGTGTGTGTGTGTGTGTGTGCCGTTCCCCCATTCGGCCCCGTGGGGGAGCTGCGGTTCTGCCTGTCTTCTCCAGCCGCCCTTCTGCCGCCGTTGGGGGTCTGCGCGGGACGCCGGAGGAAGGCGTCCCCGTCCCCAAACTCTCGACAGGGCTGCTCTTGGCAAGAAGGACGGGGGGTCCTCGGCTTCCCGGAGCCCCAAACTTATGTTGCTAAGGGAGAAATTGGTTAAGGGAGGTTGCCCAGTTTGATGACGTTTGAGGCCACGGTCACGAAAGGAACTGTTGTAAGACGAGGACTTCCTGGGGAATCACTGTATTGTGAGAGAGGGGAGAACACTCCTGGAGGCGGAGGTCCAGGAAGTCTAGAAAAGGGTCAAGGAAAGGGCTCCAGGAAGAGAGTCCAGGAAGTGGATCCAGGAAGGGGATCCAGAAAAGGGACCCAGAACCGGGCCCAAGAAAGGGGGGGGGTCAAGGATGAGGGTCCAGAAAAGGGGCCCAGAATGGGGCTCAAGAAAGGGGTTCAGGAAGAGGATCCAGGAAGTGGGTCTAGAAAAGGGTCCAGAAAAAGGGGTCGGAACAGGGCCCAAGAAAGGGGGTCAAGGATGAGGGTCCAGAAAAGGAGTCCACGAAGGGGATCCAGGAAAGGAATCCAGAAAAGGGGTCCAGAATGGAGCCCAAGGAAGGGGATCCAGAAAGAGGATCTGGGAAGCAAGTCCTGGAAAGGGGTCCGGGAAGAGGGTCCAGGAAGGGGGTCCAGAAAAGGATCCAGAAAGGGAGCCAGAACAGGGCCCAAGAAAGGGGGTCAAGGATGAGGGTCCAGAAAAAGAATCCAGGAAGGGGGTTCAGGAAGGGGATCCAGGAAAGGGGGCCAGGAAGGGGTACAAACTCCCTGATGTATCCGTCTCCTGCGTCCCCCAGCCGGTTCGGGAACAGGACGACTCGGCCTCAAGGGCCGTGGGGAGGGGGTGACCCTCTTTGCCCCCCCCAATTCCCACCTGTGTCTTCTAGGGGGGAACCTCCGAGCGAGGCAGCCTCTCCTTGGGCTCATCCCGTTTCGCCGTTCACGCAGCAACCCCTGAGATTGGCGCTGTGCGACTGGTCCGGAAATGGCTGGAAGCCTCCGAGGTAAAGTCTTGGGCCCGGAGGGTGGTGGGATGGGGTAGGGGCGGGAACAGGGTGCAATGGCCGTACACTGCTGACCGGGTCCCCGTCTTGTTTCTTCTCCCCTTTGGGATTGCAGGGCCTGATCAGAGGATCGTCCTGGTGGGCAAAACCGGAAGTGGGAAAAGCGCGACGGGAAACACCATCCTGGGAAGCAACCTCTTTGAGTCTAGGCTGAGGTTTTGGTTACCAATAAGCCAAAGGGAGGAGACCCGGTGGAATGGCCGGAAGGTGGTGGTGGTGGATACGCCGGGCTTTTTCGACCCTGGGGTTCCAGGGTTCCAAACTGTGGTGGAGCTCACGGAGTCTATGAAGTTTTGTGCCCCGGGTCCCCACGCTATTCTGTGGGTCATGCGTCTTGGCGGTATCTCCCCCCAGGAGGAGAAGGAGACGCTTCAGCTGGTCAAAGAGGTCTTCGGTCGCAAAGGCAAGAATTACCTGATCCTTTTGTTCACCCACAAGGAGGACCTGGAAGGGGAGACGTTGGAGGAATTCATAGCCCAGAGAGACGTCGCGCTTCGGGAACTGGTGGCCTTGTGTTGGCACCGCTGCCTGGCCTTCAACAACAAGGCCAAAGGGATAGAACGGGTGTTCCAGGTGGCCGAACTGATGCGGATGATCGATCAGCTCGTGTACAAGAACGGGGATGCGACTTGCTACACGGAGGACATGCTGACGGCGGACATAAACCACTTCAAAGAAATGCGTCGCATGCGTGGCGTCTCCTCGTGTCGTCTCCTCTAACGGACGCCGAAAAGCCTCTCTGGTCGATCCTCTGCTCCAAGGGGGAAGCCCTTTCAAAGGCCACAACCCTGCATTTCCCCCCCTTTTAGCTGCAACCCAGCCCACGCCAGGAGATCTCCGAAGAACCCCAAAGTCCGAGATTGGTGGCGGAGTCACCCTGAGCCGATTCCTTCTCCGGAGAACCCACTTCCTCCCTTCAGACGACAGGAGTTTCTTCCAAGGAAGATCCTGCCCCCTCCCTATATCAACTAGCCCCTTCCCCAGCCGAATTCGCTGCCAGCCTACACCCCTGTCCCTTTAGAAGCACAGACTTCTCGGTCGGTCCGTTGAGGTCAACCAGGCCAGGAAACCGCCGAGACGAGAAATATTACGAATTATAAGTCGCAGAATCTTGACAATGTCTCCCGTTCGCTCCGGCTGGTGCCGAAGAACATCAAGGCAAGGAGAGCCTTGAGGTTCTTTCTCACCTTTTCCTGTTTTCCTGAGCGGAATCTCTGCTTTCAGAAGAACTGCCTGGCATCCTTCCTTCCTTCCTTCCTTCCTTCCTTCCTTCCTTCCTTCCTTCCTTCCTTCCTTCCTTCCTTCCTTCCTTCCTTTCCTTCTTTCCTTCCTTCCTTCCTTCCTTCAATCCTTCCTTCCTTTTTTCCTTCCTTCTTTCCTTCCTTCCTTCCTTCCTTCCTTCCTTCCTTCCTTCCTTCCTTCCATGGGCCGACATGGACTCAGTTGGGAGGGCACTTCTGTTTCAACCAAAGCTCCGATTAAATCTCCTCCTTGCTCAGGAAAGAGGCTGTGTGTGGTTTGTTTGACTTTGGAGGAGGGGTGGGTGGGGTGAAGAGCGAGCTGGGAAGAGAAGAGAGTTGGGAAGGGACCCTGGAGGTCATCCAGCCCAACCCCCCTGCTCCGATGACCAGCCATTCTACATTTAGGTTCTACATTTCGGCAAGAAAAACCAAATGCACAGGTTTAGTGTAAGGTGGAGGGGTGTGTGTCAAACTCAATTTCATGGAGGGCCGCACAAGCATTGCGGTTGCCCTTGGGGGGGCACGGGTGGGTGCGGCCTACTGGGTGGGTGTGCATGGAGTGGGCGGGGCCTACTGGGTGGGCGGGGCCAGCTCCACATCGTTCGCGTCAAGGGTAACTGTGGGGACCTGGGCAGGAGTGGGACAGATCTGAGGGTCTCTGGCAGAAGAGGGTGGGGGGACCGGGGCAAGCACCAAGGCACGGTCCATTTCTTCATCCCTCGCAAAGGGTGACCCCTGCCCAGCGCGCACCCAGGGGGCGGGGCCGACGCGGCAGGGGGTGGTCCCTCACTTGTTTCCTGGATGGCTTTGCGGGCCACATGAAACCACTTCACGGGCTGCATCCGGCCCCCGGATGCCTTGTGTTTGACCTGTCTGGTATAGGGGGTTCCTTGCTCAATAGTAGCAACTGGGAGAGGGACCTCGGAGTCCTAGTGGACAATCCCTTAAATAGGAGCCAGCCGTGGGCTGCAGCTGCCAAAAAGGCCAACCCAGTGCTGGGCTGCATCAACAGAGGGATAGAATCAAGATCAGGCGAAGGGTTACTACCACTTTACAAGGCCTTGGTAAGGCCAGCCTTGGAATACGGCATCCAGTTTTGGTCCCCGCGATGTCAAAAAGATGTTGAGACTCTAGAAAGAGTGCAGAGAAGAGCAACAAAGATGATCAGGGGACTGGAGGCTGAAACATATAAGGAATGGTTGCTGGAATTGGGGATGTCTAGTTTAATGAAGAGAAGGACGAGGGGGGACAGGATAGCAGTCTTCCAGTATCTCAGGGGCTGCCATAAAGAAGAGGCAGTCAAGCTATTCTCCAAAGCGCCTGAAGGCAGGACAAGAAGCAACGGATGGAAACTCAGCAAGGAGAGAAGCAAATTTGAACTAAGGAGAAACTTCCTGACAGTGAGAACAATTAACCCGTGGAACAACCTGCCTCCAGAAACGGTGGATGCTCCAACACTGGAAGTTTTTAAGAAGAGACTGGACAGCCGTTTGTCCGAAATGGTATAGGGTTTCCTGTCTGAGCAGGGGGTTGGACTAGATGACCTCCAAGGTCCCTTCCACCTTGATGATGATGATGATGATGATGATGATGATGATGATGATGATGATGATACTGGACAGCCATTTGTCTAAAATGGTGTAGGGTTTCCTGCCTGAGCAGAGGGTTGGACTAGATGACCTCCAAGGTCCCTTCCAACTTGATGATGATGATGATGATGATGATGATGATGATGATGATGATGATGATACTGGACAGCCATTTGTCTGAAATGGTATAGGGTTTCCTGCCTGAGCAGAGGGCTGGACTAGGTGACCTCCAAGGTCCCTTCCAAATTTTATTATTATTATTATTATTATTGGATCATCGCACAGTCAGCCAGATGTTCAGACTGGATTTGGCATTTTGTCTACCTATCGAGTCCTTACCCAGGACCTGGGCTAGGCAGATGTGGATGTTTGATGGTATTACAGGTATCGTCGCAGGATGGAAGCAGTTCCTAGCAAGGCCGCCTTTTGCAACTGACTAATGGCGAATTGGTCAATGCCGATGGTGTTCAAGTGATGCTCCAGTTGTTTTGGGATTGCACCCAAGGAGCCTATGACTATTGGTACTACCCTTGCTTGTTACTATTATTATTATTATTATTATTATTATTATTATGAGACTGGACAGCCATTGGTCGGAAATGGTGTAGGTTTTCCTGCCTGAGCAGAGGGTTGGAGTAGATGACCTCCAAAGTCCCTTCCAACATCATCATCATTATCATTATTATTATTATTATTATTATTATTATTATTATTATTATTATTATTATGGGAGAGTGTTAATTGTGAATACACACAGATGGCCTCTCTCTCTTTGGCCACTTACTTGCAGAGTCCTGGGTGGAGGGTCAGGAAAGGACAGCAAGGACAACACCCAACGTCCGAAACCCACCCGAGAGCAAAACGATACCTTTAGGGAACACCAACGTGTGTAGCTCCTTCTGCTCTCTCCCTTCTTATCTGCAAAGTGCCAGACTTCCCGGGTGCAGTCTTTCTCTTACGGGCGTCAGCTTTGCGGGACGGGCGGCTTCTGCAATTACACAGAATAAATACAAGGATTGCTTGTCATTGGGGGGGGGGTCTTCCCTCATTTAGAGGGGTTCCTCTCTATTCGGCTGCGTAAACACGTAAAACTGAACAGGCACCGTCTGGTTTCCTGTGTTGCTTCAACCAGCAAAACCTCAGAACCGGCCTATCAGCGTGAGCAGGGGAACAGAGTGGGAAGGGACCCCAGAGGTCATCCAGTCCAACCCCCTGCTCAAGCAGGAGACCCTTCCAGAATCATAAGAGAACAGAGTGGGAAGGGACCCCGGAGGTCATCCAGTCCAACCCCCTGCTCGAGGAGAAGACCCTTCCAGAATCATAAGAGGAACAGAGCTGGAAGGGACCCCGGAGGTCATCTAGCCCAACCCCCTGCTCGAGCAGGAGACCCTTAGAAAATAGTAGAAAGACAGAGCCGGAAGGGACCTCCCTTCCAACTCTTGTTATTCTCTGTTTCTGTAAAGGGTCTCCCTGGTCAAGCAGGGGGCTGGACTAGATGACCTCCGAGGTCCCTTCCGCTCTTGTTATTCTGTGATTCTCTCAGGGTCTCTGGCTGGAGCAGGGGGCTGGACTAGATGACCTCCGAGGTCCCTTCCAACTCTTGTTGTTCTTTGATTCTGTCAGGGTCTCCGGCTGGAGCAGGGGGCTGGGCTAGATGACCTCCGAGGTCCCTTCCAACTCTTGTTATTCGCTGATTCTCTCAGGGTCTCCGGCTGGAGCAGGGGGCTGGGCTAGTTGACCTCCGAGGTCCCTTCCAATTCTTGTGATTCTGTGACTCTGTCGGGGTCTCCTGCTCGAGCGGGGGGGGGTCGGTCTGGATGACCTCCGAGGCTCCTTCCCGCTCCGTTCCGATGGAAAGGCTGCTGGGGGGGAGGCGGGGAGGGGGAGGGGCGCCCTGCAAAGCAAAGAGCAGAGGAAGCGAGCCTGGTTTTTGCACCGGGGGGGGGCTCTTCTTTTCGATCACGTGATTTCCAGGCAGCGCCGCCGCCGAGAGACTTTCGCTTTCGTCCGCTCTTTGGCTCTCCCCTTACACGGAGCGACAGAGCTGGAAGGGGCCTCGGAGGTCATCCAGTCCAACCCCTGGCTCGAGCAGGTGACCCTGACAGAATCCTAGAAGGAGAGTTGGAAGGGTCCCCGGAGGTCATCTAGCCCAACCGCCTGCTCGAGCAGTAGAAAACAACAGAGTGACAGAGCTGGAGGGGACCTCGGAGGTCATCTAGTCCAACCCGCTATTCAGAGGCGGCTTCTTTCCCGGGAGGGGAGGGGGAGGGAGGGAGGGGAGGGGAGGGGGTCGGCCTCCAGTTAAGGGGGGGAGAGAGGTGGGTAAGGGTCGCCGATGGGGCGGAGAGACTGGGGGAGGGGAGGGGCGCTCTGGGGAGAAAAAGCGGAGTCTTCCAAGAAGAGTCTGGACCGCCTTTTGTCCGGAATCTCCAGCTCGAGCCGGGGGGGGTCGACTAGATGACCTCTACGATCCCTTCCAACTGTTATTTTGCCGGTCTCTAAGAGTCGCCTGCTCTAGCAGGGGGGGTGGACTAAATGACCTCCGAGGTGCCTCCCTACTCTCTTATTTTGTATTTTGCTGCTTCAGCCGGGGGCTAGACTAGATGACCTCCAAGATCCCTCCCAACGCTGTCCCTCTATGATTCTGTCAGGGTCTCCTGCTCGAGTAGCGGGGCTGGACTGGATGACCTCCGACGTCCCTTCCTACTCGCCTATTTTGTAAGGGTCTCCCTGCTTGAGCAAACGGTTGGACTAGATGACCTCCGAGGTCCCTTCCCACTCCATTATTCGATGACTCTGTACGGGTCTCCTGCTCAAGCAGGGGGCTCGACTAGAAGAGCTCTAAGAGACCTTCCAACTGTCATTTTGCGGTTCTGTAACGGTGTCCTGCTCTAGCGGGGGGGTGGACTAGATGACCTCCGAGGTGCCCTCCTACTCTCTTATTTCGTGAGGGTCTCCTGCTGGAGCCGGGGGATGGACCAGATGACCTCCAAGGTCCCTTCCAGCTGTGTAATTCTCTAAGAGACCTTCCAACTGTTATTTTGCCATTCGGTAACGTTGTCCTGCTCTAGCGGGGGTGGGGGGGTGGGGGTGGACTAGATGACCTCCGAGGTGCCCTCCTACTCTCTCATGTCGTGAGGGTCTCCTGCTGGAGCCGGGGGTTGGACCAGATGACCTCCAAGGTCCCTTCCAGCCGTGCAATTCTCTGAGGGTCTCCTGCTCGAGCAGGGGGTTGGGCTGGATGACCTCCAAGGTCCCTTCCAGCTCTGTTCCGATGGAAAGGCTGCTGGGAGGAGGCGGGGGGGGGGAAGGGGAGAAGGGGGGGAGGCGACCCAGCCCGAAGCGGCCGTTGTGCGATTAATAAACCCGGAGGAAAAAATAGCCCGTTTCCTGTGGCTGGTCGGGGGGGAGCGGGAGGGGGGAGGAGGGGGTCGTTCTGGCTCTCGCTTTCCTTTCGATCACGTGATTTCCAGGCAGCGCCGCCGCCCGGAGACTTTCGCTTTCCTCCGCTATTCAGATGCAGCTTCCTTCCCGAGGGGGGGAGGGAGGGAGGGGAGGGGCGGGGCCTCCAGTTAGGGGGGAGGGAGAGAGGTGGGGAAGGGTCGCAGCTGGGGTGGCCCAAAGGCAAGGGGGAGACTTGCGGGGGGGGTGGGCGGGCTCCGAGGAGAAAAAGAGGAGGCTTTCAATCTGAGTCCGGAACCGCCGTTTGTGCGGAAATCTCCCGCTGGAGCCGGGGGTTGGACTAGAAGACCTCCAGGGTCCCTTCCAGCTCTGCCTTTCTAGGATTCTATCTGGGTCTCCTGCTCGATCGGACTGTTGGACTAGATAGCCTCCGAGGTCCCTTCTGTAACTCATTCTAGGATTCTGCGAGGGTCTCCTGCTGGAGCAGGGGGTTGGACTAGATGACCTCCGAGGTCCCTTCTGTAACTTATTCTAGGATTCTGCGAGGGTCCCCTGCTGGAGCAGGGCGTTGGACTAGATGGCCTCCGAGGTCCCTTCCAACTGTCCTAGGATTCTGTCTCCTGCTCCATCAGGGGGTTGGACTAGATGACCTCCGAGGTCCCTTCTGTAACTCAATGTATGATTCTGCGAGGGTCCTCTGCTGGAGCAGGGGGTTGGAGTAGATGGCCTCCGAGGTCCCTTCTGTAACTCATTCTAGGATTCTGGGAGGGTCTCCTGCTGGAGCAGGGGGTTGGACTAGATGGCCTCCGAGGTCCCTTCTGTAACTCAATGTACGATTCTGCGAGGGTCCTCTGCTGGAGCAGGGGGTTGGACTAGATGACCTCCGAGGTCCCTTCTGTAACTCAGTCTAGGATTCTGGGAGGGTCCCCTGCTGCAGCAGGGGGTTGGACTAGATGACCTCCGAGGTCCCTTCTGTAAGTCATTCTGTGATTCTGCGAGGGTCTCCTGCTGGAGCAGGGGTTTGGACTAGATGGCCTCTGAGGTCCCTTCTGTAAGTCATTCTGTGATTTTGCGAGGGTCCCCTGCTGCAGCAGGGGGTTGGACTAGATGGCCTCCGAGGTCCCTTCTGTAACTCATTCTGTGATTCTGCGAGGGTCTCCTGCTGGAGCAGGGGGTTGGACTAGATGGCCTCCGAGGTCCCTTCTGTAACTCAGTCTAGGATTCTGCGAGGGTCCCCTGCTGGAGCAGGGGGTTGGACTAGATGACCTCCGAGGTCCCATTCAACTGTCCTAGGATTCTGTCCGGGTCCCCTGCTGGAGCAGGGGGTTGGACTAGATGGCCTCCGAGGTCCCTTCTGTAAGTCATTCTGTGATTCTGCGAGGGTCTCCTGCTCCAGCAGGGGGTTGGACTAGGATCGTCGACCACGACCGGAAGCCTGGGAGCCCTCCCTCCCTCCCTAACTCCCTCCCTCCCCTGCTGGCCAGCTGCCAATCAACGTCTTCGGAGCGATCGCCGGGTGGATCCCGGAGCAGGAAGCCAAAAGGGAAAGCGAGGCACAGCGAAGAGGGGATGGGAAGACACACACACACACACACACACACACACACACACACACACACACACAGCCTTGTCCCTCCCGCGCCCAGGTGGGGTCCGGACAAGATCCCAGGTGGGTGGCTGCGTTTGACGCCCCCGGTTGCTTCCTGGGATCCACCGGCGGCTCAGCTGGAAGATCCGAAGATCTCTCCGCCTTTCGGGCGGCCGTGGAGCTCTTCTCCGGCCTGGCGGGGCTGCCTGCTTGGGATCCCAGATCCAGACTTCCCTCGGGATCTGCTTCCCGGCCCTCCCTGTCGGGGGATCTCCCCCCTCCCGCTGAGGTTCCCCTTTCCCCGTGGTCAAGGATCCACCCGCCGTTCAAAGGGCGAGGAGATCCGGCCGAGAGGCGGCCCGGGAGAGCAGCGGATCCAGCCGCCGAAGGGGATCAATCGGATCCCTCCGTCCAGGTGAGACGCCCTCCCCTCCCCAGAAGCGCCAAGAGGGGGCCTGGCTGGGGCAGGAGAAGTGGGCGAAAGGCGAAGGGCTCTTCCGAGGGCATCCAGTCGGTCCTCGTTTCTGGGAGAGCCCCCCCGCCCAACGGGTGGGTGGGAGAGCCGAGACCCTCGTGTTAGGGGAGGGAAAGGGAGGGGAGAGGCTGTCAGAGGGGGAGGGGGGGAGGGAGGGAGGGGGCTCAACGGGTGGAGCTGGATAGCCGAGATCCTAAGGCGGGGAAGCGGAGGGCTGAATCCCTCGGGATCCCCTCCCTCCGTCTCTGCAAAGGAAGGCCGAGGAAGGAGGGGGAGGGAGAGGGAGGGGGCTTCCCAACAGGTGGGGGCACAGAAGCACCTCTCTTCTCTTCTCTTCTCTTATTCTCTTCTCTTCTCTCCTCTTCTCTTCCATATTTTCTATTCTATTCTATTCTATTCTATTCTTCTCTCCTCTTCTCTTCTCTCCTCTTCTCTTCTCTTCTCTTCTATATTCTTCATTCCATTCCATTTTCCATTCTCTCTTCTCTTCTCTTCTCTTCCATATTTTCTATTCTATTCTATTCTATTCAATTTTCTATTCTATTCTGTTCTATTCTATTCTATTCTATTCTATTCTATTCTATTTTATTCTTCTATTCTATTATTCTACTCCATTCCATTCAATTTTCTATTCTATTCTGTTCTATTCTACTCTATTCTTCTCTTCTTCTCTTCTCTTCTCTTCCATATTTTCTATTCTATTCTATTCTATTCAATTTTCTATTCTATTCTGTTCTATTCTATTCTATTCTATTCTATTTTATTCTTCTATTCTATTATTCTACTCCATTCCATTCAATTTTCTATTCTATTCTGTTCTATTCTACTCTATTCTTCTCCTCTTCTCTTCTCTTCCATATTTTCTATTCTATTCTATTCTATTCTATTCTATTTTATTCTTCTATTCTATTATTCTACTCCATTCCATTCAATTTTCTATTCTATTCTGTTCTATTCTACTCTATTCTTCTCTTCTTCTCTTCTCTTCTCTTCCATATTTTCTATTCTATTCTACTCCATTCCATTCAATTTTCTATTCTGTTCTATTCTATTCTATTCTATTCTATTCTATTCTATTCTATTCTATTATTCTACTCCATTCCATTCAATTTTCTATTCTATTCTATTCTATTCTATTCTATTCTATTCTATTCTATTCTTTTCTATTCTATTCTATTCTATTCTTCTATTCTATTATTCTACTCCATTCCATTCAATTTTCTATTCTATTCTATTCTGTTCTATTCTTCTATTCTATTATTCTACTCCATTCCATTCAATTTTCTATTCTATTCTATTCTATTCTACTCTATTCTTCTCTTCTTCTCTTCTCTTCTCTTCCATATTTTCTATTCTGTTCTGTTCTGTTCTATTCTATTCTATTCTATTCTATTCTATTCTATTCTATTCTATTCTATTCTATTCTATTCTATTCTATTGTATTCTATTCTACTCCATTCTATTCAATTTTCTATTCTGTTCTATTCTATTCTATTCTATTCTATTCTATTCTATTCTATTCTTCTATTCTATTCTTCTACTCCATTCCATTCAATTTTCTATTCTATTCTATTCTATTCTATTCTATTCTATTCTATTCTATTCTATTCTATTCTATTCTATTCTATTCTAATTCTATTCTTCTACTCCATTCTATTCAATTTTCTATTCTATTCTATTATTCTACTCTATTCTATTCTATTGTTCTATTCTAATTCTATTATTCTACTCCATTCTATTCAATTTTCTATTCTGTTCTGTTCTATTCTATTCTATTCCATTCCATATTTTCTATTCTATTCTATTGTTCTGTTCTATTCTCTTAATTTTCTATTCTATTATATTCCTTTTCTATATTCTATTCTATTCTATTCTTCATTCCTCTATTCTATTCTAGACAGTCACTTGTCTGAGACGGTATAGGACCTAGTTTCTCCTGCTCGAGCGGGGAGGCTGGACTAGATGACCTCCAAGGTCCCTTCCGGCTCTATTCTACTCTACCTCTGCCCAGCCCAGAAACTTCTGCCGCCTTTGGGGGTCTGCGCGGGATGCCGGAGGAAGGCGTCCCTCTCCCCCAAACTCTCGACAGGGCTGGTCTGGGCAAGAAGGACGGGGGGTCCTCGGCTTACCGGCCATAACTGAGGCCCAAGTTTACATTGCTAAGGGAGAAATTGGTCAAGGGAGGCTGCCCAATTGGATGACGTTTGAGGCCGCGGTCACGAAAGGGCGTGTCGTAAGACGAGGACTTCCTGGGGAATCGCTGTATGGTTGCGAGAGAGGGGAACACTCCTGGAGGAGGGAGGGAGGGGGTCTGGGAAAGGGGTCCAGAAAAGGGGTCCAGGAAAGGAGTCAAGGAAGAGGGTCTGGGAAAAGGATCAAGGAAGAGAGTCCAGGAAGAGGGTCCACAAAAGGTTTCCAGAAAGGGGGTCCAGGAAGAGGGTCTGGGAAAGGGCTCCAGGAAGAATGTCCCGGAATGTCCCAATAAAGGGGTCAAGGATGGGGGTCCAGGAAGAGAGTCCAGGAAGGGGGTCCGGGAAGGGGTGCAAACTGTCTCCTAGGACAGTTCACTGGGGTGTCACCCAGTCTCCCGCGTCCCCCAGCCGGTTCGGGAACAGGACGACTCGGCCTCAAGGGCCGGGGGGGAGGGGGGGACCCTCTTTGGCCCCCCCCCCAATTCCCGCCTGTGTCTTCTAGGGGGGAACCTCCGAGCGAGACAGCCTCTCCTTGGGCTCATCCTCTTTCGCTGTTCACGCAGCAACCCCCGAGATTGGCGCTGTGCGACTTGTCCAGAAATGGCTGGAAGCTTCCGAGGTAAAGTCTTGGGCCCGGGGGGGGTGGCGGGGGGGTGGGATGGGGTAGGGGCGGGCACAGGGTGCGATGGCCGTACGCTGCCGACCGAGTCACCGTCTTCTTTCTTCTCCCCTTTGGGGTTGCAGGGCCTGATCAGAGGATCGTCCTGGTGGGCAGCACCGGAAGTGGGAAAAGCGCGACGGGAAACACCATCCTGGGAAGCAACGTCTTTGAGTCTAGGTGGTGTTATAGGTCACCAACAAAGACTTGCCAAAGGGAGGAGAGCCTGTGGAATGGCCGGAAGGTGGTGGTGGTGGATACGCCGGGCTTTTTCGACCCTGGGGTTCCAGAGTCCCAAACTGTGACGGAGCTCGTGAAGTCTATGAAGTTTTGCACCCCGGGTCCCCACGCTATTCTGTGCGTCCTGCGTCCTGGCTGTTGGACGCAGGAGGAGAAGGAGAGGCTTCAGCTGGTCAAAGAGGTGTTCGGTCGCAAAGGCAAGAATTACCTGATCCTTTTGTTCACCCGCAAGGAGGACCTGGAAGGGGAGACGCTGGAGGAGTTCATATCCCAGAGAGACGTCGCGCTTCGGGAACTGGTGGCCCACTGTGGGCACCGCTGCCTGGCCTTCAACAACAAGGCCAAAGGAGAAGAACGGGAGGCTCAGGTGGCCGAACTGATGCGGATGATCGATCAGCTCGTGTACAAGAACGGGGATGCGACTTGCTACACGGAGGACATGCTGACGGCGGACATAAACCACTTCAAAGAAAGGCGTGGCCTCTCCTCGTGTCGTCTCCTCTAACGGACGCCGAAAAGCCTCTCTGCTCCAAGGCGGTAGCCCTGTCCAAGGCCACAACCCTGCATTTCCCCCCCTTTTAGTTGCAACCCAGCCCTCGCCAGGAGACCTCCGAAGAACCCCAAAGTCCGAGATGGGTGGCGGAGTCACCCTGAGCCGATTCCTTCTCCGGAGAACCCACTTCCTCCCCTCAGATGACAGGAGTTTCTTCCAAGGGCAGAGGAAGATCCCGCCCCCTCCCCATATCAACTAGCCAGCCCCCCCAGCCGAATTTGCTCCCAGCCTGCACCCCTGTCCCTTTAGAAGCACAGACTCTTTGGGGCTTCCCCGTCGGTCCGTCCGTTGAGGTCGAGCAGGACAGGAAACCGCCGAGACGAAAAATATTATGAATTATAAGTCGCAGAATCTTGACAACGTCTCCCGTTCGCTCCGGCTGGTGCCGAAGACCATCAAGGCAAGGAGAGCCTTGAGGTTTTTTCTCACTTTTCTCGTTTTCCTGAGCGGAATCTCTGTTTTTGGAACGGTTGCCTGGCATCTTCCTTCCTTCCTTCCTTCCTTCCTTCCTTCCTTCCTTCCTTCCTTCCTTCCTTCCTTCCTTCCTTCCTTCCTTCTTTCCTTCCTTCCTTCCATCCTTCCATCTTTCCTTCCTTCCTTCCTTCCTTCCTTCCTTCCTTCCTTCCTTCCTTCCTTCCTTCCTTCCTTCCTTCCTTCCTTCTTTCCTTCCTTCCATCCTTCCTTCCTTCCTTCCTTCCTTCCTTCCTTCCTTCCTTCTTTCCTTCCTTCCATCCTTCCTTCCTTCCTTCCTTCCTTCCTTCCTTCCTTCCTTCCTTCCTTCCTTCCTTCCTTCCTTCCTTCCTTCCTGCCTTCCATGGGCCGACATGGACTCACTGGGAGGGCACTTCTGTTTCAACCAAAGCTCCAATTAAATCTCCTCCTTGCTTAGGAAAGAGGCTGTGTGTGGTTTGTTTGACTTTGGAGGAGGGGTGGGTGGGGTGAAGAGCGAGCTGGGAAAAGAAGAGAGTTGGGAAGGGACCCTGGAGGTCATCCAGCCCAACCCCCCTGCTCCGATGACCAGCCATTCTACATTTAGGTTCTACATTTGGGCGAGAAAAACCAAATGCACAGGTATAGTGTAGGGCGGGGGGTGTGTGTGTCAAACTCAATTTCATGGAGGGCCGCATCAGCATTGCGGTTGCCCTTGGGGGGGCCGGGTGGGTGCAGCTTACTGGGTGGGTGTGCATGGAGTGGGCGTGGCCTACTGGGTGGGCGGGGCCAACTCCACATCGTTCGCGTCAAGGGTGCCTGTGGGGGGCCTGGGCAGGAGTGGGACAGATCTGGGGGTCTCTGGCAGAAGAGGGTGGGGGGTCCGGGGCAAGCGCCAAGGCACGGTCCATTTCTTCGTCCCTCGCAAAGGGTGACCCCTGCCCAGCATGCACCCAGGGGGCGGGGCCCACACGGCAGGGGGCGGTCCCTTGCTTGTTTCCGGGATGGCTTTGCAGGCCACATGAAACCACTTCACGGGCTGCATCCGGCCCCCGGATGCCTCGTGTTTGACGTGTCTGGTATGGGGGTTCCTTGCTCAAGAGTTGCAACTGGGAGAGGGACCTCGGAGTCCTAGTGGACAATCCCTTAAATAGGAGCCAGCCGTGGGCTGCAGCTGCCAAAAAGGCCAACCCAGTGCTGGGCTGCGTCAACAGAGGGATAGAATCAAGATCAGGCGAAGGGTTACTACCACTTTACAAGGCCTTGGTAAGGCCAGCCTTGGAATCCGGCATCCAGTTTTGGTCCCCGCGATGTCAAAAAGATGCCGAGACTCTAGAAAGAGTGCAGAGAAGAGCAACAAAGATGATTAGGGGACTGGAGGCTAAAACATATAAGGAACGGTTGCTGGAATTGGGTCTGTCTAGTTTAATGAAGAGAAGGACGAGGGGGGACAGGATAGCAGTCTTCCAGTATCTCAGGGGCTGCCATAAAGAAGAGGCAGTCAAGCTATTCTCCAAAGCGCCTGAAGGCAGGACAAGAAGCAACGGATGGAAACTCAGCAAGGAGAGAAGCAACTTAGAACTAAGGAGAAACTTCCTGACAGTGAGAACAATTACCCCGTGGAACAACCTGCCTCCAGAAGCGGTGGATGCTCCAACACTGGAAGTTTTGAAGAAGAGACTGGACAGCCATTTGTCCGAAACGGTGTAGGGTTTCCTGCCTGAGCAGGGGGTTGGACTACATGACCTCCAAGGTCCCTTCCAACTTTATTATTATTATTATTATTATTATTATTATTATTATTATTATTATTATTATTATTATTATGGATCATCGCACAGTCAGCCAGATGTTCAGACTGGATTTGGCATTTTGTCTACCTATCGAGTCCTTCCCCAGGACCTGGGATAGGCAGATGTGGATGTTTGATGGTATTACAGGTATCGTCGCAGGATGGCAGCAGTTCCTAATAAGGCCGCCTTTTGCAATTGACTAATAGCAAATTTGTCAATGCCAATGGTGTTCAAGTGGTGCTCCAGTTGTTTTGGGATTGCACCCAAGGCGCCTATGACTATTGGTACTACCCTTGCTTGCTTTTGCCACAGTCTTTCTATTTCTATTTGTAGGTCTTTGTATTTTGTGATCTTCTCCAGCTCTTTCTCGTCATCCACTATCCAGACTTTTTTGTCTTTCTTATCGACAATTGTTAAGTCTGGGGTGTTATGTTGCAGGTGCTTGTCTGTTTGAATTCTGAAGTCCCAGAGCAGTTTAATTTTATCATTTTCTATGACTTTCTCTATTTTATGATCCCACCGGTTTTTGCTTACAGGCAAATGATATTTTTTGCAGATCTTCCAATGCACCATTGTTGCTACTTTGTCATGCCGCTGCTTGTACTCAGTCTATGATGATGAGGATGAGGATGATGATGATGAAGAAGAAGAAGAGATTGGACAGTCATTTGTCTGAAATGGTGTAGGGATTCCTGCCGGAGCAGAGGACTGGACTAGATGACCTCCAAGGTCCCTTCCAACTTTATTATTATTATTATTATTATTATTATTATTATTATTATTATTATTATGTGTTAATTGTGAATACACACAGTTGGCCTCTCTCTCTTTGACCACTTACTTGCAGAGTCCTGGGTGGAGGGTCAGGAAAGGACAGCAAGGACAACACCCAACGTCCGAAACCCACCCGAGAACAAAACGATACCTTTAGGGAACACCAACGTGTGTAGCTCCTTCTGCTCTCTCCCTTCTTATCTGCAAAGTGCCAGACTTCCCGGATGCAATCTTTCTCTTACAGGCGTCAGCTTTGCGGGACGGGTGGCTTCTGTAATTACACAGAATAAATACAAGGATTGCTTATCATTGGGGGGGGGGTCTTCCCTCATTTAGAGGGGGTCCGTCTCTGTTCGGCTGCATAAACACGTAAAACTTAACAGGCACCTTCTGGTTTCCTGTGTTGCTTCAACCAGCAAAACCTCAGAACCGGTCTATCAGCGCGAGCAGGGGAACAGAGTGGGAAGGGACCCCAGAGGTCATCCAGTCCAACCCCCTGCTCGAGCAGGAGACCCTTCCAGAATCATAAGAGAACAGAGTGGGAAGGGACCCTGGAGGTCATCCAGTCCAACCCCCTGCTCGAGGAGAAGACCCTTCCAGACTCATAAGAGGAACAGAGCTGGAAGGGACCCCGGAGGTCATCTAGCCCAACCCCCTGCTCGAGCAGGAGACCCTTAGAAAATAGTAGAAAGACAGAGCCGGAAGGGACCTCCCTTCCAACTCTTGTTATTCTCTGTTTCTGTACAGGGTCTCCCTGGTCAAGCAGGGGGCTGGACTAGATGACCTCCGAGGTCCCTTCCGCTCTTGTTATTCTGTGATTCTCTCAGGGTCTCTGGCTGGAGCAGGGGGCTGGACTAGATGACCTCTGAGGTCCCTTCCAACTCTTGTTGTTCTTTGATTCTGTCAGGGTCTCCGGCTGGAGCAGGGGGCTGGGCTAGATGACCTCCGAGGTCCCTTCCAACTCTTGTTATTCTCTGATTCTCTCAGGGTCTCCGGCTGGAGCAGGGGGCTGGGCTAGTTGACCTCCGAGGTCCCTTCCAATTCTTGTGATTCTGTGACTCTGTCGGGGTCTCCTGCTCGAGCGGGGGGGGGGGTCGGTCTGGATGACCTCCGAGGCTCCTTCCCGCTCCGTTCCGATGGAAAGGCTGCTGGGGGGGAGGCGGGGAGGGGGAGGGGCGCCCTGCAAAGCAAAGAGCAGAGGAAGCGAGCCTGGTTTTTGCACCGGGGGGGGGGGCTCTTCTTTTCGATCACGTGATTTCCAGGCAGCGCCGCCGCCGAGAGACTTTCGCTTTCGTCCGCTCTTTGGCTCTCCCCTTACACGGAGCGACAGAGCTGGAAGGGGCCTCGGAGGTCATCCAGTCCAACCCCTGGCTCGAGCAGGTGACCCTGACAGAATCCTAGAAGGAGAGTTGGAAGGGTCCCTGGAGGTCATCTAGCCCGACCCCCTGGCTCGAGCAGGAGACCCTTAGAAAACAGTAGAGCCAGAGAGCTGGAAGGGGCCTCGGAGGTCATCCAGTCCAACCCCCGGCTCGAGCAGGTGACCCTGACAGAATCGTAGAAGGAGAGTTGGAAGGGTCCCTGGAGGTCATCTAGCCCAACCGCCTGCTCGAGCAGTAGAAAACAACAGAGTCACAGAGCTGGAAGGGACCTCGGAGGTCATCTAGTCCAACCCGCTATTCAGAGGCGGCTTCTTTCCCGGGAGGGGAGGGGGAGGGAGGGAGGGGAGGGGGCCGGCCTCCAGTTAAGGGGGGGAGAGAGGTGGGGAAGGGTCGCCGATGGGGCGGAGAGACTGGGGGAGGGGAGGGGCGCTCTGGGGAGAAAAAGCGGAGTCTTCCAAGAAGAGTCTGGACCGCTTTTTGTCCGGAATCTCCAGCTCGAGCCGGGGGGGGATCGACTAGATGACCTCTACGATCCCTTCCAACTGTTATTTTGCCGGTCTCTAAGAGTCGCCTGCTCTAGCAGGGGGGGTGGACTAAATGACCTCCGAGGTGCCTCCCTACTCTCTTATTTTGTATTTTGCTGCTTCAGCCGGGGGCTGGACTAGATGACCTCCAAGATCCCTCCCAACGCTGTCCCTCTATGATTCTGTCAGGGTCTCCTGCTCGAGTAGCCGGGCTGGACTGGATGACCTCCGACGTGCCTTTCTACTCGCTTATTTTGTAAGGGTCTCCCTGCTTGAGCAAACGGCTGGACTAGATGACCTCCGAGGTCCCTTCCCACTCCATTATTCGATGACTCTGTACGGGTCTCCTGCTCAAGCAAGGGGCTCGACTAGAAGAGCTCTAAGAGACCTTCCAACTGTTATTTTGCCGTTCTGTAACGGTGTCCTGCTCTAGAGGGGGGTGGGGTGAGGGGTGGACTAGATGACCTCCGAGGTGCCCTCCTACTCTCTTATGTCGTGAGGGTCTCCTGCTGGAGCCGTGGGTTGGACTAGATGACCTCCAAGGTCCCTTCCAGCTATGTAATTCTCTAAGAGACCTTCCAACTGTTATTT